TGATAGACTCTCGATTAAATTCAGAAATTTTAAGGATTGAAAACAGTTTAAAAGAGAATATTGGTCAAAAAGTTAAAAGCTTGGTTAATTCTGAAATAACCATTGTGACTGTTGATTTAAATAACAAACTGAAAACAATTGAAAAGTCGTATGCTGAATGTGTAGCTCAGGTCAAACATAATAAGTCGAGGCAAGTCGCAGGTAATAATGACACCCAACGCACGGGCTTTGTTATAAAGAACTTAACGGAACATTCCGACGAAATACATGACCCAAATGTTTTGATAAACACTGTTAACCGTTTGATTAGAGATGGACTCAAACTCACATCGGTAAAGATAGCTAAAGCTGAACGTCGCCCATCAGCAGTTAAACGACAGACACAACGTGCTCCTTTAATAGCTGTGACTGTGGAATCTGAGAGCATGAAGTTGGGTATTATGAGATCAAAACGTTCCTTGAAAAAGTCAGAAGAATTTCGAGAGGTTTACATTGAAAATAATAAAACACCAGAAGAGCGAAAGCAAGAATCTAATTTACGGACAATGTTAAGAGAAATGGGCAAGAATAAATTATTTCGAGTTAACGGCGGCCGCATTCTTAAGAATTCTGATCGTAATGATGAACATTAGGGGTGCGTTCGGTTTGGGTCCTGGAATTGCCGTGGCTTTCCCACGAAACACAATGAAAATAGCGAATTTAGAAAACATTTAATGAATTTCGTTAACTGCGACGTTATAGGTTTGTGCGAAACCTTTCTTGTTTCTAATAATGTTTTAGATATCCCCGGATATAAGTGGTTTGGAAATAATAGAAAACAAATACATAGGCGTTCAAAGCGTGGTAATGGCGGGGTCGGGTTTTTAATTAAAAGGGATCTGATCGGAAAAGTTTTTAATATTAGAGTATTAGATACATCGATAGAAGATATATTGTGGTTACACATCACTGGTATTGGCACTGACCTGTCAATATGTATTGCTATCTGCTACCTCCCCCAGAAGGATCAACACGCCCAAATGAAGCTGAGGCTTTTATTGAAAATCTAACGAATCAAACTTATGAATATCAACAGTTGAGATCTATTCAAATTTTCGGAGACTTTAATGCGCGTTGTGCTGACGACTCGGATATTGTCGAATGGGTGGACGGTAGCCCTCGAGAGATTCTGGACGTTAACAGGAACCATCATGGTAAATTATTTTTGGATTTTCTGTTGAATGGAAGGGTAGAGGAACACGACTTTACATCAATTTCGACAAAGGGTAAAGCAATAGTGGACTATGTTTGTGTGCCCCATGAGTCTCTAGAAACTATTAAACATTTTAATGTTTTAACTATGACAGACGCAATAGCTGACATTAAGTTTACAGCCGACATCCATCCCTGATCACTCTATGTTGATCTGGGAGATAGACTATAAATTAAACCAACGACAACATGATGTAATATGTTCTGGTTATAGTGTAAAACGGTACCAACTCCGTGATATCCCAGATGACTTTCTATCATTCACAAACATTGATCCATTATTGTATGAAAAGATAACGGCAATAGAGGATAACCTGCAATGCCAGAAAGATGTCCAGCGTGCTTATGGTGACTTTCTAGTACTGATAAAACCGAAATGGATAATAGAATACCTTGTAAGAAAACATTCGCCCCCAATTGTGCTATCAAGACAAACAAACGAGCTAGAAAGCCTTATTGGAATGACGAACTTGCTGCGCAGTGGACTCGTGCGCGTAACTGTGAAAAGTTGTGGTTAAAATCAACTTCTCACGTTAATAAAGGGCAATTAAAATCGGAATTTTGTCAAGCTAGGAAATGTTTTGATCAATTGCATAGAAAAGTAAAGAGACAATATCGCCAAAAGCTACAAGATGAGCTATCAGAAAAATTTGAGTGTACCAATAGTTCAGAATTTTGGAAGACAATCGGTCAAATAGGTATCTCAAATTCCAGACAGAACAAGATCCCCTGGGCAGTTATTAATGAGGATGGTAGACTCGTTACTGATAAGGAAAGTGTCTTGAATAGGTGGCAAGCAGACTTTAATACTATCTTAAATAAAGGACCTACTGATACAAATTTGGACTTAGATACAAATTCGAATTTAGAACACGACTCTATCAAAGACTGCACCAAACTTGATGTATTTATATCGCTTAAGGAAGTAAACACTGCGATTGATAAACTGAAACCCCGAAAAGCGTTTGGTGCTGATGAAATCCCAGCGGAAGTGCTTAAGAATGACGTGTCCGTACTCCTTCTCCATAAAATATGTAACATCTGTTTCGAGACTGGTACCGTCCCAAAAGAATGGACTAATAGTGTTATATATCCAATCGCGAAGCCCGGAATGACAGATAACAGAGACCCACTAGAATATCGTGGAATATCTCTCCTGTCCGTACCCAGTAAAGTATACTGCCATATTCTAAACTCTAGGTTTCGATTCTCTGTGCCGATTAAAACTATGGAATAAACTGGAAAATATTGGCGTTTCGACTCATTTCAATAAAGCGCTTCAATCTCTGTATAAAAACGCCCAGTGTGCGGTAAAGATTAATGATACCCTTACTCCTTGGTTTAATGTCCAATCAGGGTTGTCTTATTTCGCCAAACCTATTTGCCGTTTATATCAATGACCTTTGTAACGACCTTGAAAAATTAAATTCTGGGTTAAAGTGTGAAGATGCGCATGTTTCCTTGCTCCTCTATGCAGACGATATAGCTATATTAGCCCCCGATGAAACGTCTTTAAATCGCATGTTACAAGTGTTGGATAGTTGGTGTAAAAAGTGGGATCTAGAAATAAACCCCCAAAAGACTAAAGTCGTACACTATAGATCCCCCTCAAAACCACGCTCTGACTATATTTTCAAATGTGGAAACCAAACTATTGACTATGCTGACTCATACCGATATTTAGGAATATGGTTAGAACAACACTTAGATATGGCTAAGACAGCAAATGAACTCGCCAAATCAGCAAGTCGTGCCCTGGGATTAGTCTGTGCGAAGCTTAAAGCGTGTGGAGAGATGTCCTATACAATATTTGAAAAACTTTATAAAACACTCGTCGAACCCATCTTGTTTTATGGATCAGCTATTTGGGGAACACGGTCATACTCTAGCATATACTCCATACAAAATAAAGCCATCAAATTCTATTTGGGCGTTGGAAAACACACATCAAATCTAGCAACACGAGGTGACTTTAACTGGACCTCATGTTACACCAAACAGAAAATAGAATGCGTTCGATTCATGTCTAAGCTTACCCGAATTAAAAATAAAGATCGAATAGTGTATCAAGCTTTTAAGCTCTCCAAACGAAATAAGCGAGGGTGGTATTATTCGGTTACTAATCATCTGCACGATACAGATATGTTAATTATTGATGATTGTGGAATCTCTTCAAATTCTGCTCTAGATAGGGTCTCTAAGAAGCTAAATGAGATTGACTCAGTTGAATGGACAAAACAGATATTTGATGATCGTAAAAATGAAATGAACGGAAATAAACTCCGTACTTACAGGAGCTTTAAACAAACGCCTCGCATTGAACATTATGTGACACACCCCAACATCCCCCGATACCACAAACGCCTTATTACCCAAATTCGCTGCGGTTCTCTCCCCATAGCCATCGAAACCCGCAGGTATTCCAGACCCGCACTACCGTTATGCGACAGAAAATGTGTATTCTGTAACTTAAATGTAATAGAAGATGAAAAACACACTCTTTTAGTGTGTCCGACATATAGCGACATTAGATATGATCTAATATCGGAAATCAATAAATTAGATCATACGTTCAATGAAATGAATTGTGATCAAAGATTCAAGTTTATAATGAATTGTGACTCGATCCAACAAAGCCTGGGGAATTACTTGTTTAAGATGATGAACCGAAGGCAGTCTCTTAAAACTTTTGTATAATCCAAACAAACAAAATGTTAAATATAATATGCGTTGAAGTTTGAGTTTAAAGTGACAAGTATATTTTATTGAACTAAAATAATTAAATATTTTTTATGTGGTCGTGTCTCGTAGGTTAATTATGGCCGGAAATCATTCTAATTTTATCTGTTTGTTTTTTTTAAACATAATATTATGTTTTTAGCTGTATAGAATGATTTGTGACACTTTAACTTGTGGTTAAATTTAACCATGTGGTTAAATAATTTAACGACATCGTTATATTTAACGACTGAAGAAGTCTGTTGTTCATCGTGTCGTTAAATTTAACGCATGGTTATGTCATCGTTAAAATGGTCCATATTTAACCCACCTAGCAGGGCATCGTTAAATGATTAACCCGTCGTTAAATCAGTCAAGGTGACTGCCAGACAAGTTCTCATGGTCATGTTTCCGACTTTAAACATGAAAAAAGAAGGAAATGAAATGAAACCGTTTAACATCCTACCTTTCTGCCCCGACTGCGCTAATAAAGACAGGCATACGCCATGCAGTGTGCTATGAGGGAAATTTTGCCCGGACAGCAGCGCTACGGCCTACTCTGATATTGAATTCAAACTGCCAAGGGATCTTTTACGTGCATGCCAATGTGTACACAGGACCTTCCCAGGTCCTCTGTCCTACACGCCGAAAAATCATGATGAACTTTCTTAGCCAACACCGGGAGCGAACCCGTGACTTCCAGGCTAGCAAGCCAGTCTCCCGAAAAGAATGTATACAGGGGCACCTTTAATAAGTTCAAGTTAAAAAGATTCCTTCTGAGTTAACATCTTGATACATGCTTGAAGAAAAAGTCATTTACCAATATATGTAATCGTCTTGACATTCACCTAAAAAACGCAACTAATAACCAAAGAAGTGAAGCCGCAAGTATTCATTGCCATGTGCTTTTATGCAAGTGGGTCCTTTCTCTAAATCAATGACATTGTGCACAAATAGCCCAGTTTCCCCATTGCTAGGTAATCGTGGCCCAATAGCATAAATCAAAGTTCACAAAGATAAGTAATTAATAATTTACATGCATTAGGATTTATTGTCAATATTGATGGTTTGGTACATGAATATTGAGATCTTTTTGATCTCTTGTATAATATAACCTCTGCCTTCTGTAATTCTATGTTAGAATCATGTAACTTCTTTATGTGGGCTATAACGGTATGCAGTCTGTGTGTAAAGTTGGAAGTAGATCTTGGTTCACTTGAAAATAGGCCTAGATGTCATGATACGTCTATGTCCTTTAAATATATAACTCCAGGTATCGTAGCACAAATTTGAAATTTCCTCAGTTCTCATTGAAAGAAAAGTATGGTCGACTGGATAAAAACAACTGTTTCAACAAGGCAAATAACCGCCTATAAATATTGGTGTCTAGGCATACAGATTTTCATGGTCATGGTCAGGGATCTTCGCCACCTCAAAAGTAGGCTAGGGTGACAAAAATCTTCAAGAAATTCTGCAAATGTCCATCACACTATTTTCAAATTTCACCTTATATGAAAACACATCCCTGAAACACATAAAACAGAAAATTAGTCACAAATTAATTAAAACTATTTGGAGGCCTATCCTAATTAGGCACTGTCTATAGGCCTATATACACAATTTTGTTCCTTTTTTGGGGAGCAGCATCACTAAGCAAATTTTACTAGTTTTTATCTAATTCCGACTACCACCTAATTAATAAAATCATTAGTGACCAGAAAGGACTTAATAAGATGAAAATATGGTTATGGCAGCTGAAATACGCCTCATAATAGGGAATGCCAAAATTGACACTTCATTAATACATTATCTATGTTTACATTCATTGACATCACGTACCAACCATAATTTTACAGGGCTTTTTGGTGGATGTAAGCCTCGAACAACTTTTGTCTGAATGGGAACTAATAAAAATAGTGTCAAAAGTCTGCAAATAATACTTTAAAAAGCTAAAAAAAACCAACTTACCACATTTTACAAGAGAGGAACTTTACAAGCGCAACAATTTTTGTTGTCAAGAGTTACCCTTCTCCAGTCTCGATTAGCAGGCCACAACCATGTCATTAAAGATTGACAGTGCTCCCTAAAAACACCACATGAAGACTAATTTCCCATTCAGCTAAACATCTTTAAACATTAGAAAAATTTGTTTGCGGATATCAATTGGTTTTTCTTTTGCCCACTCCCCCTGCAGTGTCATCCATCTTGAATTGGTTGCTAGTAAGGAGAATTATGGGATACTTGTTGAATAGTTAAATTTTAACCATACGGTTATTGAATGGTTAAATTTTAACCATATGGTTACATAACAACGTCGTTAAATGTAGTTGAACAACACAAATTTAACCACGGGTTATGTAACGATTAGTTAAATATATAACCCATGGTTAAACGAAACCACATGGTTAAATTTAACTAAAAGTTGAACAACCGGCCACTGATTGCTTATCTCTGCTTACAGTAAGCAGAATATGTTCATCATCGAACTCCATCAAGACATTCACCTAATGAACGCCTACACCAAGTTTGAACATTGTACCTCAATTAGAAGGAGAGTTATTGTGTTCCAAAGTATCGACCAATCAAATTGTTTATCGCTCTGCTTACCCTGAGCAGAAAATGCTCACTATCAAACTTAGTCAAGGTGTTTAGGCCGTGGTGTCAAACTTCTAGCTAGCTTGCTTCTGTTTCTCCATCCCGACCATTTTCGGGTGAAAAAAAAAACTACATCAACTAATTCTTCTAGTATTACTTTGTATTGTCACACAACTTTTCTTTTATCAATTCTTTGACGTTTGATAGAAAGCGTAAATTAAATATGGGCTTGCTTGTCAATGTGCAATGGTATTTGAATTTCGCGCGGACTCGGTTAAACAGATCACGTGACATAATTGGCCAATCAAACATACACGACGAAAAGTTCAATAGGTCGTGTGGTGAAAAGTTACCTGCTCTTTGTTTACGTGCGGAAGGATAGCTGAAGTAAAACTGCATGCTTCGTGAACATTTTGTTAAAAAAAACTGAGCTAAAACCGTTCACTGCGACAAGCTGGGAAAAATTTAAGGTATGTGCTAACCAGTGGATCAAATTAGATGGAAATGGCAGGCTTGTGCCGGAGACAAAAATGCCTATTTGCTTGACAACAACCCCAGGCAGGAATGTGCAGACAAAACTCTCACTGGGGTATGGTAGAGGCTACTACTTCTCACATTCCACGTTACCAACGTTAACAAAACTGTGTATGAAACATTATCACGATTAAAAAATTTGTTGAAGAAAGTGATGTTTAGAAACAAGCGGCGAAAAAAAAAAGAGAAAGAGAATAAAATAATAGGTCTGGTTAATTTGTTAAGGGGATCAGATCATACCTTAACGCCAGTGGCTATTTGCCACATGTGGTAAGCAAGAATTTCAAAATAGCCTTACGATTACAGACCGCAATTGTTACCCGATTTTAATGAAACTTACAGATTATGATAACATTGATGACATCTCCGACTAGCAAAACTTTCGGCCACTTCCGGTTGGCGGTTTCCGAGATAAGGGGGTTACCACACATTTCATGTGACACGGCTACAGACCGCATATATGAACCGATATCCATGAAACTTACAGAATATGATAACAATAATAATATCTCAGAGTAGCCAATATTTCGACCACTTCCGGTTGGCGATTTCCGAGATATCAGGTTACCACACATTTTATGTGGCACGGCTACAGACCGCATATATGAACCGATATCCATGAAACTTACAGAATATGATAACAATAATAATATCTCAGAGTAGCCAAAATTTCGACCACTTCCGGTTGGCGGTTTCCGAGATATGGGGGTTATCACACATTTTATGTGGCACGGCTACAGACCGCATATATGAACCGATATCCATGAAACTTACAGAATATGATAACATTAATAATATCTCAGAGTAGCCAAAATTTCGACCACTTCCGGTTAGCGGTTTCCGAGATATCAGGTTACCACACAGTTCATGTGGCACGGCTACAGACCACAATTATCAACCGATTTCCATGAAACTTACAGAATATGATAACATTAATAATATCTCAGAGTAGGCTACATTTCGACCACTTCCGGTGAGCGGTTTCCGAGATATCAGGTTACCACATATTTCATGTGGCACGGTTACAGACCACAATTATCAACCGATATCAATGAAACTTGCAGATTATAATTACTTTAATAATATCTCAGAGTAGCCAAAATTTCGACCACTTCCGGTTAGCGGTTTCCGAGATATCAGGTTACCACACATTTCATGTGGCACGGCTACAGACCACAATTATCAACCGATGTCTATGAAACTATGGAACTTTGCGGTGGTATAACTCGATACGCCAACATAGAAAGTTAATGAAATTCGGCATGTGCATACCTTATTCATCTGTCGATTTAGTGAAATAAAGATATTGAAGCCTACCCTAACCTGATTCTCCCCATATGTTTAGTATGTTTACGGTAATATATCTCGAAACGCCAACATAGGAGCCTTCTTAAATTTTGTATTCTAATCGTCTATTCATCCCTTGATTTCGTGAAATAAAAAACATTTTCCCACCAAAGCTGGTTTGGGTCGTTTTTTGACGCAACGTGGGCGTACCCCTTGTTTATTGAACCCACAAACTCCACCTCGAATCCGGGTTGTAGGAACTTTGCGGTGGTATAACTCGATACGCCAACATAGAAAGTTAATGAAATTTGGCATGTTCATGCCTTATGCACCTGTCGAGTTGGTGAAATAAAGATTTTGAAGCCACCAAAGCTAGTTTATAAGTTAATACGTGCGCAGGCAGCCTACCACAACGCGATTCCCCCATATGTTTACGGTAATATCTCGAAACGCCAGCATAGGAGCCTTCTGAAATTTTGTATTCTAGTAGTTTATTCATCTCTTGATTCCGTGAAACAAAAAACATTTTCCCACCAAAGCTGGTTGGGGTACTTTTTGATGCAAAATGGACGTACCCCTTTTTTGCATGCTCAGTTAGCCTAGTGTGCGATATTTTAGTATGTTTACGGTAATAGTACATTTTGGGGGTGTGGGGTGGGATCGGGGGATCTATTACATAATATTTTGCATTAATATGTTTTAAAAAATTTTTTTCTAATATAAAGGTAACGATTATTTTCGTGATAATTATATCTAGGTTTTTCTTGGCGCTAGGAATACGTGCGCTTACTTGATCTCGAATCCGAGTGCTGGAAATGGAATACGGCGGGAGAATATGTCTGCTAACTTGATCTCGAATGCGGGTGCTGGAATACGGTGAAAGAATATAATGTCTGCTAATTTGATCTCGAATCCGCGTGCTGGAATACGGTGAGAGAATATGTCTGCTAACTTGATCTCGAATCCGGGCGCTGGAATACGGTTAGAGAATATATGTCTGCCAACTTGATCTCGAATCGGTATGCTGGAGTACGCTGAGAATTATGTCTGCTAACTAGATCTCGAATCCGGGTGCTGGAATACGGGTGAGAGATTCCGCTCGGTCATATTTGCAGAGAAATTCTCTCTGACAAATGTAAACAATCCAACGTGTTCCGTCTCATAAAATGTATTCCCTGGTCTATTTATGGCTATTGACCCTTGACCTAATGACGATCGTTGCTTTTATGGTTTCTGATTGGCTTAGAATTTGATTTTCCTCTTTAAAAAAAAACCCTACTAATGTTATAGCCCTATAGGCCTGAAATACAGATACAGTTGGTTTAACTTGAATAGAGATTTCAATTATCAATGCTGCATATATCACCTTGCAACTGAATCACATTATATATCTTTTTAGTTGTTGTTCATATCGTCTTACGTATTTGTCAACATCAAGGTGAACTTGCTCTATTGTCCCATTAGCCAATCCAGACTTGTTACCACGAATTTACTCACCCCACCCTCGCATGGTTATGAATTTTCTTGTTTCACTTGACTAAAGAAACATTTTGTAGGAATGTATGCTTTTATAGATTGAACACTTGTTTGCGATATCATTGTCGGTGGAAACTGGCACTGTAAGAATGAACAAATAGCGGAGACGGGGTTTCAGCCGGCTGATTTAAATTATTTCTTTAAATACCGTAAAGCTTAGAATATATCAGTTTTCACTCTTAAGAATTTTTTTGTAAACAAGTTTTTATTGTAGTTTCCGTGACGTATTCCCAATAAGCGTTAGAAACAAAGATACCCTTAATCCCGGTGCCGATAAATGTTGGGTTGTGTGAAACATGCTAACAAATCTCAGGTACGATATATGTTTGATTCTGGTTGAGAACACCATCAGAGCAACAAGATTGTTTTCATTGGAGATGGGACGCAAATATTCGAACGGGTCAGACAAACTCTAAACCAACTGCGTCCCCTTCAAAGGGGGGCCTGCGTCTGTCTACCTGTGGAAAAACATGCATTTGTATCTGTTAAATTTGTGTGGTAGACAGATTGATATTCTTTATACATAGGCGGGAGTGATCTTACCCCAAACAGATTGCAAAAGAAACCAGGAAGTTTCGGAGAGCGATATTTCGTAATCAGACTTGTGTTTTAGTGGTGGGGGAATAAATAATTTCTTTTTAAATTTTTCAAACACAAACTGGTCATAGAGGCGAAATATACCGAAAAACGAATTTGACAAAAATCAAAAAATGTATTTTTCACAAGTATGGCGCCAGGCATTTCTTTCAAAATGACTGTCAAAATCATGGTTTTCGACGTCTCTTAAAGGCACAGGCACTTGAAGGGATTAAAATAAAACTTCTTACTACTCTTTGACTATAGTAATAAGCTGTAATATATAGTCAAAGAGTAGTTAGAAGTTTTATTTTAATCCCTTCAAGTGCCTGTGCTTAAAGGTCACCGTCGAGTGCCGAAGTCGTGAAATGCATCGTCCGGGACTTTGTTGGGGCCTGTCTCCCCCAGAAAATTTATGGAAATTTCAAGCCCGAAATTTAATGAAGACATCCCAACTTCAATCAACAAATTAATCAAGCAGACTCTTGTCGTTGCATTCACATGACACCGAACGTGTCGCTGATGAAACAAATATGCCCGAAACACATGTCGCGGTTAGTGCGACCCATTTGTGACAATTTCTAGGTCCCAAATATTAGCGATTTAGCTCTCCTTTAAAAGCGAATGCAAGTTAGATATGTTTAATAGCGCTTTTATCTAGTGTATCTTTTATTTTGATTTTTCTTATAGAATAAGGCTATATAGCAATTATGTGCGCTTTTTGTTGTATAATACTAATAATAGTATGTCTATAGACACTTATTCGCTGAAATCTATGGCATATCTATCCACATCCCTGTTTGTCGGGACATCCAACAATATAATAGGGCATATAAATAGATAGTGAGTTGGTAGAGTTACTTGGGACCCAAGATAGCGTCTTTGTACACTTGGCGTCATATTTCCATGACGTCATATGAAATTCCTGGGCCCTTATTCACGAAAACTTAAACTAAGTTACAACCGAAATTTT